ATAAGGACCCGGTTAGCGATTCGGACCCTCGGGTTTGGGTCGTTACGTGGTTGCTGAAGCTATTGCGGTTGAGCGTTGAAACTGGTTTGGGGAGAATTTTTATTTAAATTTGGGGAAGGTTTGGGCCAGTGTAGGAGTAGATTGGATTGTAATTGCATCTGTAATTGTACGTGTATATATGCGTGCATCTGTAATTGTATGTGTAGTATTTTGTGTGTATGTATATATATATATAAGAATGAAGAAATGAAAGAAGAAGTGGTGGTGGTGGCGGCGCTAAGAGGCGGTGGCAGCTTTGTGGGTATATGATTGAGATGAAGAGGTTATTTTGGACATTTTAGAATGGGTAAATTGGTAATTTTATTATTTAAAGGGTCACTTGACAAGTCAAAGGGTATTTAGGTTATTTTATCATATGTCAGAGTATTAAGGGGTGTCTTTGTCAAAGAAAGCAAATTTGAGGGGTGTCAATGTACAAAAATAGGCTAACTTGTATATGAGTGTATTTATGGCAAATCTCAAGGGTTGTCATTGTACTTTACCCAAAAAAAAAAAACTTATAGGCATTTCTCTTTAAAAAATGAGATTGAATGTTGAAAATGAGATTTTTAATATTCAAACAAATTGACATTACTAGTTTTATCCTAAATTACACCATCTTTCTCAACGTGTATCGTTCTCACGTTCCGAGCGTGCTCTCTCTCTTACGTTTTGTGTGCACTCTAACTCAAATTTTTACTATTTTTTATTTAATTTTACTACTCTCACACTCTCACTCTTAAATTTACTTTCGATCCTTTACGACTTAGGTCTTACCTTTCATAATTTCAAGAAGGCACGCAAGAATGAACTATTTTCCTTGTATGGAAACAATGATTATGTGGATGCAGTGGGAGTACAATCAACTAAAAAAGGGACAAAACTGATGTTAGTCAAAATTGACTATGTGAACCAAATGAGTTGCGTGATTCAATTGCCGATGCAATATGGAATGCTAATTATTGATGACTTAGTTTGTCACTCCGTATAATTTTATTAAGGGCGTGTATGGTTATGTGAATTTTACGTGTACTTTTTAATTTCAGACTTGTATGTTTATGTGAACTCACGTGTAATTTATTTATTTCCTAACTAGACTATTTCATGATGTTAACTCTTGATTATGTCTTCTAGCAAATTAGTGTTTTTTTTTTGGGTTCAATTGTTGTTTTAAAACATTATGTTAGATCTGTATAATGTATGTATGAAAAAATTAAAGAAATTACCATTGTCATGAGTATTAGAAATGTTATTTTTACTTTTTTATTATTATTTTTTAATGATACTCTAATAGTAAATAAAATTAAAAGAGTGAAATTTTTTAAAATAAAAAATTTACCAAACATATTTTATGTTTTATGTTTTAAAAAATTAACACCAAATGTACATTACCAAACAAAAATGACAGTGCAACTTTTCAAAATACATTTTTATATTAAAAGCAACACATGGAAAAAATAAATTAAAAAAATAATAATAAAAGCATTACCAAACAGGACATTTACTAAATGATTTTTAAATTTATTTAGTTGGTGTCTTGGTGTCAACTTACATATAAATAACAAAGGAACTTAAAAGATTTTGGCTTAGTACATATTTTTACCTCTGTGAATCGAATCATCAGAACTTTTATCAATATCAGGATCTGGAGCCTCTGTCAAAAACCCAACATTCATAAACAATTGCAGATAATATGAAGTCAAATAATTTACCATTGAGAGAGAATATATAAAGAGAATATATAGAGAGAGTACATTCAACAGTTGGTTTGGAGTGAAACATATCATCGCCCATATATAAAGATTAAAGAGAATATATAGCCTGTATTTTTTAATCTGAAAACGAGAACTTTCTAGGTTTATTATATACAAAATGAGAGAAACATTAGAATATAAATACATTTAAATTTGTTTTATTTTATATAATTGTGCTATTTATACATAAATAATTTTTCTCTTCAATTTGTATAAAAATATTATTTAATATAAAAATTCATCAAGAATAATTGTAATTGTGACAAATAAAAATATTATCAATCAAAACTTCTTATACTTATTCTTTTGTTCAAATATATATATATAAATTATTTTTTTATCTTATTGTATTCTTTAATCGATGAAATGTATAACTGTACAAGTCCTAGTTGACCCGAAGACAATGGCTCCTAAATATTCAATGCCTAATAATCATTGGCTAATAATTTTGGTGGTGTTCTAAAGATAAAACTCGAGTAATTCGTTGGCTTCATTGAAAATTTTTGTGCCGGAATAAACAGTCGGGTGGTCTAGGGTTTCGCAATTTGGAGGCTTTCAATTTGGCTCTTTTTATCTAAGCATGCTTGGTATTTTCAGGTCCGTAAACAGGGGCTGCTGTATCAGCTTTTTAAGGCAAAGTATTTACCTTCTTCGTCGTTCTTGGAGGCTCCTTTGGGTTATAATCCTTTTTGGGGATGGCGTAGTATTTGGTCTACTCAGGCCTTGTTATGTCGGGGGTTCGATCGTTGATTAGAAATGGCCTATCCACGGATGTTTGGACTGATCATTGGGTCCTTACGATTCCTCACAAACTGTCACCACCCCAAGTCCCTGCTCCCGTTTCTTCTGTGGCAGAGTTGATTGATACTGTTACGTCTTCGTGGAAGCTGGATGTTCTATCTCAAGTTTTCTCATCCACTACGGTGCAGGAAATTCTTAAAATTCACATCAGTCGATGGGATACCGGATGAGATCATTTGGTCTCCTGAGCGATCGGGTAAGTTTTCTGTGCGATCGGCTTATCAGTTGTCCATGTCCAGGACTTCTTTTTTGGGGGTTGCTTCTCCGACCGGTTCTTGGTCTTATATTTGGTGTTGCCGGACACTGTCTAAGGTGCAACACTTCTTTTGGCGATGTTGTTTTCATGCCTTGCTTGTTCGTGTTGCGTTGCTAGCTCGTTGGTGTGCGGTGTCTCCTCTTTGTCCTTGCTGTGGGTCACAGGAGGAGTTTGTGGTGCATCTTATTTTTTCTTGCCCTCATTCTCTTCAGGTGTGGAAGTTATCTCCGTTGCGCTTTGATTTTTCTGCTTTGTCTTTTTCTTCGTTCTGAGTTGGCTGGCATTTTCTAGTGCATAAGGCTATGGTCTCCTCGGATTTTGCGAATATTCTTAGCCTGATCTCCTTTTGTGTCTGGGGTATTTGGAAGGCCCGGAATCGGTTGGTTTTTGAGAGGGTTTTCTGGCAGCCGAAGGTTGTGGTGCAAAAGGCTGTTGTTAGTTTTTGGGAGTTTCATGATGCTCGTTCCCTCTGCTCTTCAGTGCAACCTTGGCTGGCTGGTGCACTGGTGGAGTCGTGGAATCCCCCTCCATCGGGTTTTGTTAAGTGTAATTTTGATGCGACTTTTTGTAGGTAGTCTTTGCAAGGGGGTGGCGCTGCTGTTTTTCGAGATGTTAGGGGTGCAGTGATTCGTGCGGTTGTTTTCCGTCCTTTCTCTGCTGTTTCAGCTTTAGAGGCGAAAGCGTTGGTCTGTCAGCGTGCGATTCTTTGCGCTATTGATTTGCATTTCTCTTCCGTATGGTTTGAATCGGACACTAAAGTTGTGGTGGACGGGGTGTTATGTCAGATGTTTTGCCCGTCCGAAATTGCTTCTATTTGTTTTGATATTGCTCGCGACTTGCGACGGTTTCCAGCGGCTCGGTTGACTCATGTGCATCGTCAGGGTAATCAGGTGGCTCATGCTTTAGCTGCTCTTTCGCGGTCTGGGATTGTGTCCTATATGTGGTTGTCTTCTGTTCCTCCTTCTATCGTCCCTTTTGTGGTGGTAGAGGGTGGGTCTTAGTGGGTTGTGGTTCTTTTGGTTCCTTGTGTTGGGGTTGTTTTTGCCTTGGACAAAAAATAAAATAAAATAAAATAAATCAATATAGTTTGTCTAGTCTAGTCAGGGGCAGTCGGAGCCCTAAGGCCTCAAACCAATAGAAGGCTCCAAATTTATTTATTTATTTATTTTTTTTTTTTTTTTTGTACTTTTTAAAAAAAATTATTTTCTTCAGCCCCAAAATTTTATTTACTTTTTTATATTTTACCTTTCTAAAATTTTATTGTTCCTTAAATTATTATATCCAAAATTTTTATTTCCTTATTAAACCTCAACCAATGGCAGAAACCCCAAAAATTTTATTTTCTTATTAAACCAAAACCATAAAACCAATAGCAGAGATTGAATAGTAGGTCAAAATAATTAACTCTTAATTTCTATCCTTATTTGTGTTGAGGTTCTCTACACCAACTCTATCAATTATTGAGAATATATGTATTGGACTGGTTATATATATATATATATAAGTTTTGTATGGAAAAAAAAAGTACAAAACTTGCATACAAGAATTACTATATAAAGAAAAAAAATCAATTACTAACTTTGCGTTTCAAAAAGGAAGAAAAGTGATTATTAAACAAACATATATAATTATTATTTAAAATTAATATATTGCATATTAAAAAACACTTTTATATTATTGGTCTAAGATCTCAAAGCCGCCCGTGTCTGGTCATCAAAAGGATACAATTTGAGTGTTGGATTGTGTCATTGCGTGTAATGGATGGATTGTGTCATTGTGTGTAAATGGATTGGGTGGGACTATGGATAGGAATATAGGAAAATGAACCTTTGTTTAATTGATTTTGATGCGTCCATGGATGACTATTTTGAAAAAATTAGTGGTACCAACTCCCAAAGACTTTCATATTTTAATTGACTCATGCAATAAATAACAATGATGTACAAGCACGACTTCTATGAAATGCGGGCAGCCTAAAGAATTTTCGGGCAAGGTGGAAAATACATTATTGAGTGTTCCATGGTGAAGGGTAGACTGAATAAATTTTTATAACAAAATTTTTATTCATCACCTACAAAAGACCGTTGCATGATAGGAGAAATTAATTTTTTGTTAAAAAGTATACTCTTAATTTAGTACACAATTTTTTTTTTAAAACCGGTGTTGTTTTTATGTTCTACGAAAATTCTTGCTCTCGCCTTTCGTACATATTTTTATTTCTGATCGCACATTGCGTGACTTAAATTTTGCCGCTTTCACTGTTCTTAAATTAAAAATGTTTCAGGATCCCAGATATTTCTTGTAGATAGTACACCAAAGCTGACTCCACCACAGATGTTTCAAAAAATTATCAATGATTCATTTAGAGCAAGGCATCCAATTAACAACTGCTTCTCTGCTTGCAACTTCTGAGTCTACACATAACCTCCTCAAACCATGCACCTAAGCTTTTCTGTTCTCTATCAATCCATGATCGCCTTTTTCTTCTTTCTTCTAATCCCTTTTGTATCTCCCTTGTACTTCAACCTCACAAATCCCAACAATAACAGAAGCTCCCTAAACATCACAGGAGATGCTTATATTTCAGAGCAAGGCATCCAACTCACCCCAGATCCAGATGAGTACAACACATCGTCGTTACTCTCGAAAGTTGGTCGAGCAACATATACCCAACCCCTGCACCTTTGGGACAATGCTACAGGACAACTGGCGGACTTCAATACCCATTTCTCCTTCTTCATAGCTCGAAGAAATTACAACGATTCTATTGGCTTCGGGCTTGCCTTCTTTCTTGCTCCCAACGGCTCAAATATCCCCAATGATTCATTGGGTGGTCGCCTTGGTCTCACCAACAGTAACTATGCGAATCCTTTTGTTGCGGTGGAGTTTGATACTTACAGGAACAATGAGTGGGAACCTGACTATCCTTTCAACCACGTAGGTATCAACATCAACTCTTCAACTTCGGTTAGATATAAGGAATGGTATGATGTTTTTAATCTTGGGAGAACAAATGATGCTTGGATTAGCTACGATTCTAGCTCACAAAATCTTAGTGTTGTGTACACATTTGTTAGAAATGATTCCACAATTCATAAAAATGACCTTAGTTATGTAGTTGATCTTAGGGAGAGATTACCAGAATGGGTTACTTTTGGGTTCTCAGCCTCAACGTCAGAGCAATACTTCGAAAAAAATAGTATCAAATCGTGGGAGTTCAACTCGACTTTTCGAAGTATTGATGCTGGCAAAGAGGAAAACAAGACAGGACTAGTGGTGGGGTTGAGCGTTGGCTCATGTGCTTTAGTTGCTGGGCTGGCTTTGGTTGGATTTGTCTTATGGAAGAGGAAAAGTAGAGGGGAAAAACAAGAAGATCTCACTGTTGATCCGGCCATGGAAGAAGAATTTGAGAAGGGTAGCGGACCTAGGAAGTTTTCATATAGTGAATTGGCTCGTGTTACGAATAACTTTGCAGAGGCAAACAAGATTGGGGAAGGAGGGTTTGGTGGGGTTTATAGAGGTTTTTTGAGAGAATTGAACTCCAATGTTGCTGTCAAAAGAATATCAAGGGGGTCTAAACAAGGGCTAAAGGAATATGCAACGGAAGTAAAGGTCATTGGTCAATTGAGGCATAGGAATTTAGTTCGACTCATTGGTTGGTGTAATGAAAAGAATGAGCTACTAATTGTTCATGAGTTCATGCCAAATGGCAGCTTAGATTCTCATCTGTTCAAAGAAAGAAGCTTGTTATCATGGGGAGTAAGGTACAGAATTGCTCAAGGCGTAGCTTCAGCATTGCTCTATCTGCACGAAGAATGGGAACAATGCGTGGTGCACAGGGATATAAAATCAAGCAATGTTCTCTTAGATTCGGATTTCAATGCCAAACTTGGGGATTTTGGGTTAGCTAGACTTGTAGACCACGGAAAAGGATTTTCGACAACGGATGTTGCAGGGACAGTAGGTTACATGGCTCCTGAATACGTCACTACGTGGAAGTCCAGCAAAGAAACAGATGTCTATAGCTTCGGAGTTGTTGCCTTGGAAATAGCATGTGGAAGAAGACCCATTGATCTCAAGTTCGATGAAATTCAAAGAGTCATGGTGAGGTGGATTTGGGACCTTTACAGAAGGGGAAAGCTTCTTGAAGCTGTGGACCAGAAACTAGGTGGAGATTTTGCTGAGCAAGAAATGGAACGCTTGATGATTGTTGGGCTTTGGTGTGCTCATCCGTCTCCCAATCTTCGGCCATCAATAAGGCAAGCAGCTCATGTCCTTAGTTTCGAATCACCATTGCCCGACCTGATACAGCCAACGTCTTTGGCTCTTTCAAAAATGCCTCCAGCATCAATTCCTCCATCAGATGATGGTACTTCTTCCAAGAGCAGCCAAATCAACTCTTCAAGCTATAGTCACAGCAGTATTTCCTCGAAGGCCACAACTTCTGCAGCTCCAAATTCTCCATCTACATTTGTTCTGCACGGAGAATAATTTAATTTGAAGAATATCTAGCACAACTTTGTCATGTATCTATGTACGAGGGAGACCCAAGAGATCTATTTTGTTCTCAAAAGCAAAAAGAAGAAAAGTTATATAATCTATAGGTATTTTCTACTTTCCCCTCTGTTTTGGGATTTCCATGGTTTTATAATTTATTTCCGATATGTTTGGCAGCATTGTTTAATTATGTACAGGGTAAAGTGCATTAAACCCCCCTCAACTATTGGTCATTTGCAAGAAACCCCCCTGAACTACAAAAAACTCCCCTGAACTACAAAAACTCCCCTGAACTATGATTTTGTTACAATTTACTCCCTTGAACTATTGGTCATTTGCAAGAAACCCCCCTGAACTACAAAAAACCCCCCTGAACTATGATTTTATTGCAATTTACCCCCATGACATCAGCTTCTGATACCGAAAATTTTGAAAGACCAGTTTACCCTTATAACAAGTACACTGCATCGTTTTAACTTATACACTTCTTACTTTTTTTTCTGCCAAAAGATGCCTTTCACCCAACACAATCCAAAACTAAGAGCTAGAGAGAGAGAGAAGAGACCAAAGAAATACGAGGTCGGCGGGATGGCTCGGTCTCGGATGATGGCGGCTTGTGCGCGGAGGACTCGGCTGTGATGAGAGCTCAGTTGACTCGGCCATGAACTGTGGAGGCGGCGACGAGCTCAAGGGGGCTCGGCGGTGAACTGTGGACGGTTGTGTGCTCGAAACACGGGCGGCGATGTGCTTGGCTATGGAGATGGCGGAATGGGCCGGCGAGATTGGAATGGATAGTGGAATGGACTGGCGAACAAGGTGAGCTGAATGATGGGCAAGGCGGTGACGGCGATGGGCTGACGCAACGGTGCAGAGAAGTGCAATATTTATGGGGATCTGGCTAGTGGTGCAACGGCTATGATAGAGCTATGATAGGAGACCCACCGATCCCAGTAACAAATTCCTCAGCTTCATCGTCCCTTTCGGTCAATCAATTCCCTTGGATGGGGTAAACTGCAAAAAAATATATAGTTCAGTGGGGTTTTTTGCACATACCCCAATAATTCAGGAGGGTTTTTTGCAACTTTTATAGTTCATGGGGGTTTCTTGCACATACCCCAATAGTTCGGGAGTTTTTTTTACAATTTTTATAGTTCAAGGGGGTTTCTTGCACATACCCCAATAGTTCAGGGGGGTTTAATGCACTTTACTCTTATGTATATGCTAGCAATGTCATTGTGTAATGCCTCCAAACATCTTTTGGTACCTAAGTCACTATACCAAACTTCAATTTTAACAAAGTCACTAAGTAAGAAAATTTTCATGAATTTGTAGGGATGTCTATCAATGTTTAGAAGCAAAACTGAACTACGTAGATGTGAAGTTTCTTTTAAAATGTAGACTTCGGGTTACACTTCAGTTACTTAAAAACTAAAACCGTTATGCGAGATTAAGTAGAAGCTTGACTATTGTAAACCAAACATGCAACTGCTATAGGTTGATGACAAGCATATATAGATACTCGAAGGTGACGTGATTGTAACAACCCAAAAAGATACCAAAATAATAATAATAATAAAATATATAAAATTTCGGTATGACCTCCGCAGAAAAGTCCCTCTACAACCTATTGAAAAACATAAAAATGCAATGGCCTCACTGGGCCTTAAAATTAACATATCATGTCCCAACGCACTATACAATTATCATATCACATTCCCAAAATGATTACATTCATATAAAAAGTCACGTTCCTCCATCTCATCCAAACAAGAAACACACCGTAGTTACATCAAGTTACAGTCCATAATTGTAGCTAAAATTTAAAAGTTCATAACTTACAACATTATACCAGTTAAACTAAAGTTTCACAAAATAGTTAAGATTACATTTACAAAATATTAGAATTCTAATACAAAAGATAGCAAATTAAAATACATCTTCAATCCCGTCTAAACTTGTGGTGGATCGTCATCCGCCACCTCTTTTCCGTATCTTGAAAAATGTTTAAAATAATGGGGTGAGCATAAGCACAGTAGGAGTGTCTAAGACACACTTCTCATGACCCCGTGAATCCACACAATGAATAGATAAAAAGTGAATAGGATCATGCCGTAGGGAAACGCACATTCTCAACCACAACAACAAGTATGTAGCAAATATCAATCAATCACAAGTTTACCACAATGTCATGAAGTGCAATATTATGCAGACGTCACTCCCCATTTTCCAAAACATTTCCGTTTCAACTTCCAAACCATTAGTGTAATCCGACCCAAGGCACCTCCAAGGTGTTATGAATGGAGGGTTGACTAACTATCCACGACTACAAGGCACCTCCAAGGCGTCGCATCTGGCCTAGTTAGCTCAATCATACTCCCTTCTAGACTACACTAATAACACGGACGGCTAAGCACCTCCTAGGCGTCCGGTTTTCGTAAATTCCTTTGAAAAATATTTTTCCCTTGAACAAATTCATTTATTTTAAAACATTTTCCCCCCTATTTCTTTCCCAATGGATGCATAAATACTTCATGCTTCATTTCATCAATTCAACCATAAAGTTCCCACATACTTTTCAAATAAATTAATAAATTACTAAAAATACACAACTCATATTCTCATTCCACATTTTGCTAGCAATTTAAATATACAATTCACAAATTTATTTCCATAATTATAACATAAATTTTTATAGCAATTAAAATCATGAAACAAACCAACACTAAGCATACTTCTTTACAAATTGAAAATCATCATACTAATAAGCTCAATTAACACATAACATACATTTATCACCATAAATATAAATAACCCTAACAAACATAATCAAAAAATTAAAATTATGCATGCTTAAAGTCAAATTAAATGGAAAAATTTACAAGAAATCCAAGAAATAGTGGATTAGAGCACTCCTACCTCAAGTATTGAAGAAAACCCCAATTTCAGCCCAATTTTCGGAATTCAATGGGTGGCCAATTGAAATCAGTTCCGATTAAAATGAAGCCCACGACGAGCTTAAAAACTTTGCCTTTAGTGGCAAAATCAAATTCTTAAAGGCTTGATCTAGATTTAAAGTTGAATTGGTGGAAAAATAGAAAAAAAATGAACACTGATATGGGAGATGAGAAGCTGTGTGAATGAAAGGTGTTAAAATGGTCACCTGATGACCTTTAGATCATTACATAATACTAAAGGTAAGTGGTGGGTCCCTTGGCTTTAAAAATTAATTTGTCATTATATATATATATATATATAAAATAAATATTACAATCTACCCTCTTTAAAAGATTTCGTTGTCGAAATTTACCCTCCTTAAAGAATGAGGCCCACAACCACACACCTTCTTAAGAACACCTCACAAAACCTCAAAACTATGAACTCACCAACATTATTGTCTTTGACACCGGACGTCACCAGGCATCACACTCCACCGCCACTGCCACAAAAACATAATGTTCACCACCCTATGAGGGTACTCATTACTCACGACATCATAACACGAGACCAATTAGGCCTATACCCAACTCAAAACGGACATCGGTTCACTCTACACTGCTACGCAAGACTCCGAAGCCCGAAAGAAGAACAGTCACTAGACCACCGAACACAACAACGTTCAATCTCAACTCCTCCCAAAAAGGACACACAAAAACCCAGACAAAGAACCCCGTCCATCTCACAATCAAGCTCAACTTTAATCTATACATCTCTGTCAGACCAAACACTCACTACCTAACACGTAACTACACCATTACATACTCGTACAACAACTACTAACCACACCAAGCGGCAATCACTAAACTTATCATCCTTAAGATGACTATATTATGAATCTCCCAACGACTACATAATCATGAATCACCAGAACAACAAAACAAATTATCCTATACCCAGGTCACCAATCCTCAAAACAAAATCTCCAATAATTAATGATCGAATCGCAAACCCTATACCAGACACTTGGTACAACCCAACACACTTCGTCACCCAAAACAAATCATCCGAATCCACACTGTCACACCGACACAACGCGCATTTCTGTGCTCTCACTGTCCCTGACAAGTCGAAATAATCATTGACCTTCGACCCGACATCGTGCTAAAGAGGAATTGATTCAGGAGAAATGGTTGGCCAGGCCATTCTCATCATCGATCCGACCTCAACACAGACGTCGTTCCTGTCCTCAGGTCCAAACCTCAAACACAATCTCACACAGTCCACAAAACAACAATGAGATCCACTCACTATCAGTCCATCGCTCTACGTAACCTCAACAACTATACGTACAGTCATATACCTACTCTAAGAATCCTAATCATGCCTTAATCACACAATCATAACAAGCTAAAAGCAACACGGCATCAAGCGCCGCAATCATCAACCAGCATAAAAGCTCTTTAATCTCCTCATAATACCCGTACCAGGTAAACAACTCTGTACCATTACTCGATTCAATTTTTACCTCGTCAAAACACACAATGGGACTATCTCATGCCTGAGATCTCAAAACTAAATTCAATCTTTCCCATTATTCCTCAACAGAATCCCATAATCACTTTCTAGCTACTTAACACTCAAACAATACCAACACTTGTCCTCAAGACACTGCTCAAATCAGACATCAATAAGAACATCCGAGTACATGACTCACATCACATCACCTAACCATCCTCAAGCTTACAGTTCACGACATACCCCTAGCCATCACTGAAAGTACCAGACACTGGAAACACAATCCATATTCGGCAACTCGTGCCGTCAAAACCACCCTCAAAACAAGCACTACTAAAAACCGATGACTTTATCTCCCTCCGTGGGAATGAGTCGACCAAATCAACCAGACTTTTACCGATGAACTCAACAACATAGCGAATCACACACAAGTCCATCCACCTACGAATGCGCATAACTCCTAAATGGAAAAAAGACCCATGACAAATGACGTCCTTACCAGGACTAGAACAAATGGAAAGGGTAACAAACCTTGCTCTCACAAAAGACTGACGACTCACACCTGAATGCTCCCGACACCTTGTCACATGCTACAGACCAACCGTCCAACCATGGACACCAATCTCACCTAAGATGAACTGAACTCTTTACACACAAAGAGAAGAATCAAATGGAAACACATACGGGACTACGAACTCAATTCTAGGTGACCTCGCCTCTAACGGACCATTATACAATATCAACACAGAAATATCCCATATGATATCCCACAACACCCATACTAACCAAAACCACTCAGATAAGAGCACCCACGCTCACGACACACTGACACTAAAAACAATTACAGCCCTTCGGACACCGTGTCCCGTTCTACCTAGAACCCATCACTCCCAAATGACAACCCCTATGCCATAAAATGACACTTCACCATCCATACCATCTCTACATTCCCAAACGATCCTTTTTCGATCACCGTGTACACCAGACCAATGACCTCAATCACAACAATCCACTTGGTCGTCAAAAGAAAAAGGTGCCTATATGGCAACACTGCTCCCACTGGCTCTAAAGACTAAGTTGTCCACCATCACCTCGACTGATGTACAATCCCCCATCACCTACCTGACAACACACAACAAATAACTCACAATCTATAATCCACCCTCGGATCTTACCCTAAACCATTATGCTCATCCGTATTAAACATCACGCCATTACACCTTCACTGTCACTCATTCTAAACAACAGTTTAAACCTATCATCCCACTGGACCATCAAGTCACTACCAAGCAATTCTTCTTCCAACATCCTTAAGACAATACCATTATAACAAGGAAATAAACATTACTCTCGACACTCCCCACAACGACCGCTATTTACCACTAGAAAAGAACATCCATACAGTGATACCATACCGACAAATCCTCAAAACAAAAATGAGCACAAAAATCTAAAATGCTCAACACCCAACTGTCTCCTTAAAACCATCAACAATGTAATCAATCACTAACGCTTAACCGGCTACTCAAACCACTCTTTCAAAGGCAATCTACATGCCTAAATAATAAAACTTCACGCCCTAGGTTCAATATCATTATTTCTACTCTGCACCGTTCCTCAGAACACCCTTAGCCCCGACAAAAGTCAAATGGGCTATTAACTAAACCTATGGAATCACCCTCGTCCCAATCATTGCAATCGTCAGTCTACCTTTTCTAATCCTCAACACCAAGCACTATCTCCTGATACCTCAGACACAACTTGAATTACAACTCCAGCCTATAACTTTCAACTTCCAAAACATAATCCATTTAGTAACACAATACTTACCATCAATCACTTTTTCCGCAACCACCAAACATACCAATAATCACATACAATCTGCCTTATAGTGCAATCCTGCACTACACAACTAAAGCTAACCACTATACACCACCTCGAGACTCTCTCGACAACCGTGACAACCTATAACCCCGTTCATCCACCACGATATGCAATCAACTCACCGAGAGTCAATTACCCACAACACGCTTCTGTAGCTATTCGAAATGAGGATCACCCCTCGACAAACCAATCTCTAGAACAAACTCTTACAACCCACAAACTGAATCACATCAAACAGTCAACACTAGCATGGCTCCAGTCAATGCCTACGCCATCCTAGACTTACAAAGTCCAACAAAACCCTCAACAATCAGAACCACCACACTTCCGTGGATCGTACTAGAATACCCGGGAAATACGTCTACCACCAATAGACTACACTAGTGATTCTAGCAACCTCTATCACACCTATCACAAACCGGTTCGAAAAGAACCACCGCACCAAACCGTAACTCATGTCACAAACACCAACTTCCTAAGATCATATATTTCTCCCTCGAAACCCTCACCCGCACACCTGACCTCCACGGTTACAGGAACCATTCACCGATGTATGAAACTCACACACAACAAAGACACCATGCCATGAAATATGAACCCATTCTAAAGTCGTGCCTTAAGCACCACACAAAATGTTACAAGAAAATCATAATGACTACACACTGAATAGCTCAATCCACGAGCTAGAAATCAACACATGTTGTTCGATAAGAACCAGTACCCGACAACCCTAGAGCAACCGAGCTCTTCGCCTACTCAGGTCAAAACTTACACAACCCTCAATGCCGTGACAAGTACTCTACTGTACTAGCAACCATCCACTTGCTCGACCGCATAAACACATAAAAATATAGATACATATACATATACAAAATGGATGAATCCTACAATATCGTACGAAACATGCTTGCTTATACCGTGATCATTACTTGTCATATTATCATAAAAGAAAATTGCACCAACCGTGCCTACTACTTGCCATCGTCATGTATCACATACTTTCTACCTTATCATGTATAACATGCTTTCAAATATATTCACATTTCATTTACATAGTTGAATTATATAACTACTTCACATGCATGATCATGTAACACAAATTTTTGAATTTAATCACGTAAGCAATTAGCAAATAGGCATGCTTTCAAAATTGTAAACACGTAAGCATGTGATCACATAAGCAAATAAACAAGTAAACAAGTAGGCATGCTTCTCAAACATTTAAACACTTTAACACTTAACACATAATCATGCAATTCAACTTCCCCATGCAATCCCAAGTAGGCCTCTACCCGTCGTCCTAATGGTATTCGAACTATTACTCTGATACTAAATTTGTAACGACCCAAAAAGATACCAAAATACTAATAATAAAATATATAAAATTTCGGCATGACCTCCGCAGAAAAGTCCCTCTACAACCTGTTGAAATATATAAAAATGCAGTGGCCTCATTGGGCCTTAAAACTAACCTATCTTGTCCCAATGCACACATTCCCAAAATAATTACATTCATATAAAAAGTCTCGTTCCTCCATCTCATCTAAACAAGGAACACACCTTAGTTACATCAAGTTACAGTCCATAATTGTAGCTAAAATTTAAAAGTCCATAACTTACAACATTATACCAGTTAAACTAAAGTTTCACAAAATAGTTAAGATTACATTTACAAAATATTAGAATTCTAATACAAAAGATAGCAAATTAAAATACATCTTCAATCCCATCTAAACTTGTGGTGGATCATCATCCGCCACCTCTTTTCCGTATCCTGAAAAATATTAAAAATAATGGGGTGAGCATAAGCTCAGTAGGAAGTGTCTAAGACACACTTCTTATGACCCCGTGAATCCATACAATGAATAGATAAAAAGTGAACGGGATCATGCCATAGAGAAACGCACATTCTCAACCATAACAACAAGTATGTAGAAAATATAAACCAATCACAAGTTTACCACAATGTCATGAAGTGCAATATTATGCAAATGTCACTCCCCATTTTCCGAAACATTTCCGTTTCAACTTTCAAACCATTAGTGTAATCCGACCCAAAGCACCTCCAAGGCGTCACGAATGGAGGGTTGACTAACTATCCACGACCACAAGGCACCTCCAAGGCGTCGCATCCGGCCTAGTTAGCACAACTATACTCCTTTCTAGACTACACTAACAACACGGACCGCTAGGCACCTCCTAGGCGTCCGGTTTTCGCAAATTCCTTTGAAAAATATTTTTCCCAAGAACAAATTCATTTATTTTAAAACATTTTCCCCACTATTTCTTTCCCAATGGATACATGAATACTTCATACTTCATTTCATCCATTCAACCATAAAGTTCCCACATACTTTTCAAATAAATTAATAAATTACAAAAAATACACAATTCATATTCTCATTCCACATTTTGCTAGCAATTTAAATATACAATTCACAAATTTATTTCCATAATTATAACATAAATTTTTATAGCAATTGAAATCATGAAACAAACCAACACTAAGCATGCTTCTTTACAAATTGAAAATCATCATACTAATAAGTTCAATTAACTACATAACACACATTTATCACCATAAATATAAATAACCCTAACAAATATAATCAAAAAATTAAAATTATGCATACTTAAAGTCAAATTAAAGGGAAAAATTTACAAAAAATCTAAGAAATAGTGGATTAGAGTACTCCTACCTCAAGTATTGAAGAAAACTCCAATTTCAGCCCAATTTTTGGAATTCAATGGGTGGCCAATTGAAAATCAGCTCTGAACAAAATGAAGGCTACAACGAGCTTAACAACTTTGCCTTTAGTGGCAAAATCAAACTCTTAAAGGCTTGATCTAGGTCTAAGGTTGAATTGGTGGAAAAATGGAAAAAAATGAACACTGATGTGGAAGGTAAGAAGCTGCGTTAATGGAAGGTGTTAAAATGGTCACCTGATGACCTTTAGATCATTACATAATACTAAAGGAAGTGGTGGGTCCCTTGGCTTTAAAAATCAATTTGTCATTATATTATATATATATATATATATAATAATAAACATTACAGTGATCATTCAACTCAGTGTTTCAAGCCAATAATCATGGATGAGATACCAGATATCCAGTGCAGCAGTCCCTAAGGATACTCTAAGAAGCTCAAACAAACATGACGGGTCTCAAGTAAATGTGAGACAATATAACTGGAATCTACCAGTAAACCTCCTAATATGGATTGAAATAGATTGTATAATAACGAAAATCTGCAGAGAGACTTTAATTATGAACATTCCAAAAATAATATATTCATGCAAGAGAACCAAAAGTTAGGAACTTTATAGCACATATAGATCAGTTGACGGAATTGGAAGTTTTCAAAGAAGTAAAACAGAATCAACAAATTTAATTGCTTCAAACACGTATCATGTCCCAGACTAGAGTCATATACATCAAACATATAAAAGGAGGTAGAAATGTGTGCTTAAAACTCCTACCTAAATTGTTGACCTTTCACCCATGAGATTGCAAGCAAAAAACTTCCAAGTTATGAAACTTTTTCCCTGTATCTATTATCTGTTGCTTTGTGGAATCAGACACCATAGTTTCTGGATTTAAGCTGAGACATGCTCAACTTGACAATTCCGATGAACAAAATTCCTTCTGAATTTTCCTCCTAATGTGTCAAAATAGCAACACAAAAGAGTTGGACAATAAGCTGATCTCAGACCGTCAAAGTTGATATTATTTATTATGCAATATATGTATATACACACATATTTATCTATAAAACACAAACAAAACTAAAGGAGAGAAAAATAAGAAAAATTCAAGTACATAAACAACAAACTTACCGTACCAAAATGTAATAAAAACTTAAAATGAAGTGATATAAGATGCGAGATAAGTAATACTCAAGAAGAAATTATGTATAAATTGAATTCCAGACTAATTTGTTCGAAGGATCAATTGTTTGGTTATTTCCATGTAGAATTAAAACAGACAAGAAATGAAGGCCAAGGATGGACCTAAGGATGCTTAAGTGGGGCATGGTGGTACAAAAGAAATTTTCATGTTTTCCCAGATATTTTTAAATTATTATTATTATTACATTTTACCTAAGAAACTCACTGACCTACCCAATAAAGAATATATATATATATATATATATATATATATATATATATATATATAAACAAATAAATAAATGAGATTTTCACATATCCATTAACAAATTTAATCTGTTTAGTCTAATGAGGTGAGGTAAGGTGGGGTCAAATTTAGTCGTAATATCTTAGGTTGGAGGTATTATACATACACAAATAGTCCCAATCAAATTATACAGAATATGTTAAGTTTGGCATTGAGGGTTTATATGCACATGTGTAGGGATGAAAGAGAGAGAACAATATATATATATATATATATATATATATAAGTAACTTAGGTTTCAATGGTAGACAAAGAATGATTCATGAATTCCATTAAGACAGATACAGAGAGAACAGTGAGTGAATGTGAATGTGAGAGAGAGAAACGTACCTGAGATCGAACCGAGGGTTAGACATCGCAGATCGTTGGAGAGTGAGAGACAGGGACGAGCAATGGGGTCTCCGTTTGGTGGAAGGGAACAAATAGTTGGGAAAGTGAAGAATCTGATTTCCGCATAAAGGTCAATTTTTCAGTGAAAACTGAAAACCGTAGCAGGCAAAAATAACGGACGTGTTGCTACGTTTTTATTTTATTTTACATGTCACATGCTATACACAATCCAAAATTATATTCCTGTCCAAGTATATTTACTCCAAAAGCGTACATCTGAAATTACACGTTTATTTAGTACTGTTACTTATTAATAAAATCAAAACAAATTTGGTATAACAAATGTTCCTCCTGGTACAGGACAAGTGTTACCGGGTTCAGAACCTGTGACAACAAGTATATTGCAATACAAGGATTGCAAATGAGAAAATTCTGGAACGTGTGCACAAAGTCCAAAACAGCCCCTGTCGGAATATTTTGCGGGGAAAAAATTCACTATCATAATTTACATAATATAAAATTTTGCAACATAATTTGTGAAAATGACAAAGGGACTCGTCAAAACTTATTTGAAATGAAGTAATTAATATCAATTAAAGACTTAAATTTAAAAGAAAAAAAGAATGAAAAAGAGAAGTATGTGACTAATTTAATCCATATTGGATAACAGATGATGAATAGATATAAAATTTATAACTAAGAAATATAATTTTCTTAAAGAAAAAAAACTTCAGAAACATGAATAATACTGAATATTAAAATAAAAATTGACCATAAATAAATATACAAACATGAAACACAAAACTGAAATTTATAAATTTAGAGCAAAGGGAGATGTCCTCATATATGTAGTGTAAAGGTTTAGCGTCCATGTAAGTCCAAAATTTATTAAAAGATAGAATTCAATCAATTTGAGGTAACATCACCCAATACAGAATTTAATTAATTTGAGGTAATATTTTGAAATGTGGTGCTACTTAGAAATACGACGTCACTTCTATGCGCAAGAAAACACAATATATTGAAAAAAGTTGAAGAACAAAATAAGAAATTTGAGAAGAAGACGGGAATATATATATATGTAGGATGAAAGCCCAAATGAATTAAATTTTGATTTAAAATGAATGATTTAAAATGAATGAAGTTCACAAAAAAACCATCGTAAATATATTTAGTTGGATTTTTATTAAAAATTTCCTAACATATTTATGCTATGCCCTAGCTGATGATCTTCTTTCTTTTTTCTCGTTTTGGAAGAACCATTTCGTCGAACACCTCGCGACCCACATAGAATGCTTGATGATTGTTGTTGGGGGTTTGGTATGTTCATCCAGATTGCAATCTCTGCCATCAACAAGGCACACAACTCATGTCCTCGATTTTTATATAATCTCCATTGCCATTTCTCACATCAAAGATGCCCAAGCCAACCTGCTTTGTTCCTGCAATGAATATATATGCTTACATCTTCAATAACTCCTCGAGCCCTAGTTAACAACAGCATTTTATCCAAGACCAACACTTCTGCATCTTCTCCTTCAGGTGCGCCACTTCTTCCATATATTTTCTTCTCACAATTACGTAGTAAAATAAAAATACAGTTATGTGTAATAGATATTGTTACAACAGCCGTCCCGAAATCAAAAATAAATTATGCATCACATAAGGCACAAAGATTTACAAAGATAACATAAGGGCCTTTGGTTTAACTGTATAACCTCCCTTTCTTCAAAAAAGGAAGGGAGGGGCAAAATAAAAAATACATCATGCATCACATAAGACACAAAGATTTACAATGAGAACATAAAGGGCCTTTGGTCTAATTGTATAACCTCCCTGTCCTCAAAGAGAAGAGAAGGGATTCAAGTCGGGTCCTGTACAAAAGAGCGTGGGTTTACTTTATCATTCGAAAAAAATAATAATAAAAAGAAAATTAAAAAGGTTACAAATTCTCGAGCTCCAACCCTTTGTCTATCTATATTTCGGTTCTCAAACACTGTATACAGAGACTAGAGTCCACGACCCCTAAGACAAAGGAGATTAAAAAAAAAAGTGCCAAAATCTAGTTGCATTAATAAAATTCAGACCACAGCATCACAGATATATGTAGTTGATGGCAGATTTCACAAAATCTTTGGGTTTGTTTTGGTTATGCAATCAATTTCTGGTCTTTTCAAGTAGTTTGGGAGCATTGTTTAACTGTTTACTTTTATAAGTGTGACATTTGGCTTAAATTTTGAGCATGTTTGGTACCTATAATTTCTGGTTGTGAAATGTGGTGTCTCTGCTTTTTAGGTACTTAATGTGCCGAGTTTAACCGTATAGAACAACTTTGACGGGTGGTTAAGCTTTTCAATAAAAAGAACAAGCAATTTTATCTCTAGTAGACATATGCAACTTGATTTAGAGGGAGTAAGTAACTTGATTTAAGCACTTTAGGCTCTAACTTCATTACATTCTATCAGATATTATGAACAGTAGCATTGCATAGAAGCAAAAGATTGTTCAAATTGAATGATTAATATACATCACAGATCAAATAGGTCCTCCCCACTTAGAATTTTGATCCATTCTCTTCATGATGATGGCAGCAGAAAACTTCTTGCATACAAGAAAAGTCCCAAGTTAATCATAAATATAAATTGAAAATATATATAAAGTCGTTACTTATATGAGGTAGAGCTTATAATGACATGCCACTACCTTAATCTTGACCAGATCAAATTTTGAGTCCGTGTCACTGTAATTGACAGCAATGCGATGACTTCTGGTGTGCTCTGCCCTAGATCAAATAGGTTCTACCATCCATTTTCCTAGTGATGATGGCAGGAGAAGACAGCAACTTGCATACAAGAAAAGTCCTAAGTTAATTTTAAATTAAAATTTAAAATATGTATAAAGTCGCTACTTATATGAGGTAGATCTTATAATGACATGCCACTGCCTTAATCTTGACCACATCAAATTTTGATTGAGTCCTTGAGTCACTGCAATGGACGGCAATGCAATGACTTCTGGTGTGCTCTGCCCCAAGGTCATGGCATGTGCTAGAAAAATAAATCAATGTATCAAACGAAAAGGGGGACTGTGGAGGAAATAGAAGTTGAGTATTTCTTTTGCCATGCTTGAAGAAGTTTTATATGGTAGAAGCCGGCCTCTCTATTACATGAGTAGGCGACATGTGTCGAAATGTGGAGCTCCATTGAAGAATATAGATATCATTGTATCCATTTAAATAGTATAAGATTCAGTTGTTTCATAATTTAAATAAACAATGACCTACTATTGACTAGGAAGCTCCTGTAACTATTAAGTACATGCCATTAGCAAAAGCAAGCTCCCTCCTCCCATTCAAACACACTCACAACCATGGTTGTCTATTGGAATCATCTTCTCTATATGCCAAAGTTTCATCTCCTTCTTTTCAAGATTATCATTTTCTTCTGTGTAATGGTCCTTTGTCCAGCTACTCAGTTATCATTCAACTTCCCTAGCTTCAATACAACCACTAAAATAAACTACTCATTCAATGCTACCCCAACTGACCCAGTTATCCAACTGACCACAAACCGGAAGGACTTAGGCATGTATGGGAGTACTGGTCGAGCCACATATTTTGAAACGATGCAACTCTGGGACAAGGGCTCGGGAAAATTGGCAGACTTCAAGACCAGTTTCTCCTTTGTCATAGACTCGCAAAATAGTTCTTTGGGTAAAATACAGTTACAATCCCTGAGGTTTGGTAAAAAGACACTATGAGGAAACTTACCTATTTTTTGGACAAAGACACCCCCTGAAGGTTAAAAAATGGACAAAGACACCCCTTTATATAAGAAATTGACCAAATTACCCTTTAACCGTTTAGAGACTTTTTTAACTTTATAATTTAATAAATTGGACCAATCTACCCTTATGAACAATTTATGCATAAAAAAAAAAAAAAAAAAAAAAAAAAAAAAAAAAAAAAAAATTTATATTGTTCACTTTTTTTTCTTTTTTTTTTTTTAATTTACTTTATAAATGTCCTAACTTCTTAAAAGTGTAGACATCTAAAATGAATTTTTTGATCCAATACATATATTTCAAATAAATTATATTTTGTTATTACTTCTTTTCTTTTTCTTTTGTATTTTTAAATTAAAATGCTTAATTCTTTCATCTAAAAAAATTAAACCAATCTCTTTTCTTTAAAAATAAAAAATATGGTACCAGTATAACTTTATACATCTTAAATTATATATCAAATATTATGCATTTTTCAACCAAAAAAAAAAAAAAAAAGGAAGAGTGAACAATATAATTTTTTTTTTTTTTTTTTACTTTTTTTTTTATGCATAAATTGTTCATGAGGGTAGATTTGTTCAATTTATTAAATTGTAAAGTTAAAAAAGTTTCCTAAACGGTCAAAGGGTAATTTGGTCAATTTCTCATGTAAAAGGGTGTCTTTGTCCAAAAAATAGGTAAATTTTCTCTGAGTGTCCTTTTTATGCAGATGGGCTCGCATTCTTCCTTGCTCCTGATGGTTTTTCAATCCCTGATGCCCTGTCAGGTGGCAGTCTTGGTCTTGTGAGTAATCCCTGATGCCCTGTCAGGTGGTGGTCTTGGTCTTGTGAGTTATAACCAGATATACAACTCAACATTAAATCCATTTGTAGCCGTGGAGTTCGATACTTATCACAACGATTGGGATGAACAGCCTGGTGTTCATGTAGGTATCAATATTAATTCAATGATATCTAATAAAAGTGGAGTGAAGTGCAAAAAACACCCCTATTGAATGCTTATAGTGCATATTACACCCCCCTAGTGCAAAAAACACCCCTAAACTATGACATTTGTGCAAATAGGTCCTATTTATAAAAATTGGACTAAAATGCCCTTAGCAACACATTTTATAATATATAAAAAATATATATATTTTTATGAAATGACTAAAAAGGGTTTTAGTCATTATACACCACAGACATAAATATATACATATATGTATACACCACCACCAACACTGGCGCAAATTGAATGAAATTGGAATGTTCCCTGGGATTGGATCAAATTCTATCCTCATTTGATTGAACTTCAGGAATTGACACCTCCGATGAGAAGAGTGAAAATGATCTCCATGTTCGTTTATGATAAGTAAGATAAGCAAATTAGGCCCGGCCCTTTTTTGGTATCTGGTTCAATACGATGGAAAGGAGCTGATTACTCTTCCCGGTTAACCTCTCTCAACAGCTTGAGCAAGAGCTTGAGACATACGAGGAGCACGCAAGACAAGAGATACCATGTTGTCTACTTCATCTGGTAATACCACCTTTCGAAGAGGAAGTGCAGGAGACGACGGCAACAAGCGACCCATCATGGTGACGAGATCCCGGGTGGCGACGACGAGGATGATTGAGCAGTACACGGAGGAACGCCGCTGCTGGGAGTTGGAATTCGACCAATTCTGCCATCAAATCAAAAGATGATGGTGGAAGAGCAGACGTCGAAAGTGATGTCAAGGACTCTGGCGGCGTCGACAATGGCAGTCCAGCGTTAGGTCTTCCATTTTTTTCTATCTCTCTCTAAAATTTTCTGTGTCTGCAAATTTCGGTTGTGGTGATGGCTGATTCATTTTTAGTTTTGTCTACACATTTTGATTTGGTTATGATTCGTTCTTAGATTTGGGGATTTCGTGGTGGAGGTGTCGATTGTGGGTGGTAGTGGTGGAGGTGCCAATTGTAGGTGGTAGTGATGGAAGTATAGAGAGAGATGAGAGGATTGGTGGTGCCGACGGCCATGGTAGTCACGGTGACGGATAAGGGTTACACACAAAGAAGAAGAAGAATAAGAAGTAAGGGTTGGTAGGGGTATTTTTGGAAGAGTAAAAAGGTAAAATGGATATTATATTAATTGAGGGGTGTTTTTGCACAAATTGAAAAGAATAGGGGTGTTGTTTGCACACCTTTTTAAATAGGGGGTAAAAATGCTTTGAAAAATATACTTCAGAGGTGTTTCTTGCACTTACCCCAATAAAAGTGTGCCATGGAACAGTAATATTCCTGATGGGAAACAAAATACTGCTACGATTAGTTACGATTCAACTTCGATGAATTTGAGTGTAGTCTTCACTGGTTTTATAGGCAATAGAACAATTCAACAAGATCTTTATTATAAAGTTAATTTAAAGGATTTCTTACCAGAATGGGTTATTTTTGGTTTTTCAGCTGCAACAGGAAGTGCTTTTGAGATACATACCATTAACTCATGGTATTTTAGTTCAGAACTACAAATTGATAAAAATATAACATGTCAAACAGTTCCAGGAGCAGCTGATCCTTCCACTCCTGACCACAGTGGACCAAACAAGGCAGTAACAGATGGTACTCACCACAGGAGATTTAGAGGACTAGTAGCGGGATTGGTTGCAAGTGTATGTGTTTTGGTTGGTGGGTTGGGTTTGCTTTTGTTTGGCATAAGGAGGAAGATGAATAGAGTGGAAAAGAACGATGACCATGTTCTTAATGTTTCATATGAATTTGGAAACGGAATGGGGCCTAGAAAGTTTTCATTCAAAGAGTTGGCAATCGCAACAAAGAACTTCATGGAGGAAGAGAAGCTTGGGGAGGGAGGGTTTGGTGCGGTTTATAAAGGTTTCTTGAGGGAATTGAACTCCTATGTTGCTGTCAAGAGGGTGTCAAGAGGGTCTAAACAGGGGATAAAGGAGTATGCATCAGAAGTGAAGATCATTAGCCGATTGAGGCACAGGAATTTGGTGCAACTCATTGGTTGTTTAGAAATTCAACGTCACTTCTATGTATGAGAAAACATAATATATTGAAAAATGTTGATTAACAAAACAAGAAAGTAGAGAAGAAGACGTGAATACATAATTAGGATGAAAGCCCAAATGAATTAAATTTAGATTTAAAATGATTGAAGTTAACAATAAGACCATTATAAATATCTTAGGTTGGATTTTTATTAAAATTTTCCAAACATATATTTATGCTATGCCCTAGCTGTTGAACTTTCTTTTTTTTTTTTGTTTTCTTTCTTTTTTCTCCTTTTCTTTTTTTCTCGTTTTGGAAGAATCATTCCGTCGAACACCTCGCGACCCACATAGAATGCTTGATGATTGTTGTTGGGGGTTTGGTATGTTCATCCACATTGCAATCTCTGCCATCAACAAGGCACACAACTCATGTCCTCGATTTTTATATAATCTCCATTGCCATTTCTCACATCAAAGATGCCCAAGCCAACATGCTTTGTTCCTGCAATGAATATATATGCTTACATCTTCAATAACTCCTCTAGCCCTAGTTAACAACAGCATTTTATCCAAGACCAACACATCTGCATCTTCTCCTTCAGGTGCGCCACTTCTTCCATATATTTTCTTCTAACAATTATCTAGTAAAATAAAAATACAGTTATGTGTAATAGATATTGTTACAACAACTGTCCCGAAATCAAAAATAAATTATGCACCACATAAGGCACAAAGATTTACAAAGATAACATAAGGGTCTTTGGTGTAGCTGTATAATCTCCCTATCCTCGAAGAGGAGGGCAAGGGCAAAATAAAAAATAAATCATGCATCACATAAGACAAAGATTTACGGTGAGAACATAAAGGGGCTTTGGTCTAGTTGTATAACCTCCCTATCCTCAAAGAGAAGGGGAGGGATTGAAGTCGGGTCCTGTACAAAAGAGTGTGTGTTTACTTTACCATTTGAAAAAAAAAATAATAAAAAGAAAATTAAAAAGGTTACAAATTCTCGAGCTCCAACCCTTTGTCTATCTCTATTTTGGTTCTCAAACACTGTATACAGAGACTAGAGTCCACGACCCCTAAGACAAAGGGGATTAAAAAAAAAAGTGCCAAAATCTAGTTGCGTTACTAAAATTCAGACCACAGCATCACAGATATATGTAGTTGATGGCAGATTTCACAAAATCTTTGGGTTTGTTTTGGTTATGCAATCAATTTCTGGTCTTTTCAAGTAGTTTGGGAGCATTGTTTAACTGTTTACTTATAAGTGTGACATTTGGCTTAAATTTTGAGCATGTTTGGTACCTATAATTTCTGGTTGTGAAATGTGGTGTCTCTGCTTTTTAGGTACTTATTGTGCCAAGTTTAACTGTTTAGAACAACTTTGACTGGTGGTTAAGCTTTTCAATAAAAAGAACAAGCAATTTTATCTCTAGTAGACATATGCAACTTGATTCAGAGGGAATAAGTAACTTGATTTAAGCACTTTAAGCTCTAACTTCATTACATTCTATCAGATATTATGAACAGTAGTCATTGCATAGAAGCAAAAGATTGTTCAAATTGAATGATTAATATACATCACAGATCAAATAGGTCCTCCCCACTTAGAATTTTGATCCATTCTCTTCATGATGATGGCAGCAGAAGACAACTTCTTGCATACAAGAAAAGTCCCAAGTTAATCATAAATATAAATTTAAAATATATATAAAGTCGTTACTTATATGAGGATGAGCTTATAATGACATGCCACTACCTTAATCTTGACCAGATCAAATTTTGAGTCCGAGTCACTGTAATTGACAGCAATGCGATGACTTCTGGTGTGCTCTGCCCTAGATCAAATAGGTTCTACCCACTTAGAATCTTGATCCATTTTCCTGCATACAAGAAAAGTCCCAAGTTAATTTTAAATATAAATTTAAAATATGTATAAAGTCACTCCTTATATGAGGTAGATCTTATAATGACATGCCACTGCCTTAATCTTGACCACATCAAAAGTCCTTGAGTCACTGCAATGGACGGCAATGCAATGACTTCTGGTGTGCTCTGCCCCAAGGTCATGGCATTTGCTACAAAAATAAATCAATGTATCAACGAAAAGGGGGACTCTGGAGGAAATAGAAGTTGAGTATGAAGAAGTTTTATATTGTAGAAAGCCGGGGTCTCTATTACATGAGTAGGAGACGTGTGTCAATGTGGAGCTCCACTGAAGAACATAGATATCATTGTATCCATTTAAATAGTATAAGATTCAGTTGTTTCATAATTTAAATAAACAATGAACTACTATTGACTAGGAAGCTCCTGCGACTATAAGTACATGCCATTAGCAAAAGCAAGCCCCATCCTCCCATTCAAACACACTCACAACCATGGTTGTCTATGGGAATCATCTTCTCTATATGCCAAAGTTTCATCTCCTTCTTTTCAAGATTATCATTTTCTTCTGTGTAATGGTCCTTTGTCCAGCTACTCAGTTATCATTCAACTTCCCTAGCTTCAATACAACCACTAAAATAAACTACTCATTCAATGCTACCCCAACTGAACCAGTTATCCAACTGACCACAAACCGGAAGGACTTAGGCATGTATGGGAGTACTGGTCGAGCCACATATTTTGAAACAATGCAACTCTGGGACAAGGGCTCGGGAAAATTGGCAGACTTCAATACCAGTTTCTCCTTTGTCATAGACTCGCAAAATAGTTCTTTTTATGCAGATGGGCTTGCATTCTTCCTTGCTCCTGATGGTTTTTCAATCCCTGATGCCCTGTCAGGTGGTGGTCTTGGTCTTGTGAGTTATAACCAGATATACAACTCAACATCAAATCCATTTGTAGCCGTGGAGTTCGATACTTATCACAACGATTGGGATGAACAGCCCGGTGTTCATGTAGGTATCAATATTAATTCAATGATATCTAATAAAAGTGTGCCATGGAACAGTAGTATTCCTGATGGGAAACAAAATACTGCTACGATTAGTTACAATTCAACTTCGATGAATTTGAGTGTAGTCTTCACTGGTTTTATAGGCAATAGAATAATTCAACAAGATCTTTATTATAAAGTTAATTTAAAGGATTTCTTACCAGAATGGGTTATTTTTGGTTTTTCAGCTGCAACAGGAAGTGCTTTTGAAATACATACCATTAACTCATGGTATTTTAGTTCAGAACTACAAATTGATAAAAGTATAACAAGTCAAACAGTTCCAGGAGCAGCTGATCCTTCCACTCCTGACCACAGTGGACCAAACAAGGCAGTAACAGATGGTACTCACCACAGGAGATTTAGAGGACTAGTAGCGGGATTGGTTGCAAGTGCATGTGTTTTGGTTGGTGGGTTGGGTTTGCTTTTGTTTGGCATAAGGAGGAAGATGAATAGAGCGGAAAAGAACGATGACCATGTTCTTAATGTTTCATATGAATTTGGAAACGGAATGGGGCCTAGAAAGTTTTCATTCAAAGAGTTGGCAATTGCAACAAAGAACTTCATGGAGGAAGAGAAGCTTGGAGAGGGAGGGTTTGGTGCAGTTTATAAAGGTTTCTTGAGGGAATTGAACTCCTATGTTGCTGTCAAGAGGGTGTCAAGAGGGTCTAAACAGGGGATAAAGGAGTATGCATCAGAAGTGAAGATCATTAGCCGATTGAGGCACAGGAATTTGGTGCAACTCATTGGTTGGTGCCATGAAAAAAGAGAACTCCTACTTGTTTATGAGTTCATGCCCAATGGTAGCTTGGATTCCCATCTTTTCAAAGAAAATTGCTTGCTGACATGGGTGAAGAGGTACAATGTTGCTCGAGGCTTGGCCTCTGCATTATTGTATCTGCATGAAGGATGGGAACAATGTGTACTGCATAGGGATATTAAATCAAGTAACATTATGTTGGATTCAAGTTTCAATTCCAAACTTGGGGATTTTGGTTTAGCCAGGCTTGTTGACCATGAAAAGGGGTCACAAACCACAGTTTTGGCAGGCACCATTGGCTACATGGCTCCTGAATGTCTCATGACAGGAAATGCAAGCAAGGAATCAGACGTCTACAGTTTTGGGATTGTCGCTTTAGAGATAGCCTGTGGAAGGAAACCCATCAACAACATGGCCAACAAAGATCAAGTAAGAATGGTGGATTGGGTTTGGAAGCTATATGGATCTGGAAAGATTCTTGAAGCTGCTGACCCTAGACTTGATGCAGATTTTGATGAGGAACAGATGCAATGCTTGATTACAGTTGGCCTTTGGTGTGCTCACCCCGATTGCAATCATCGGCCTTCAATAAAGCAAGCAATTCAACTGCTTGATTTTGAAGCTCCTTTGCCAAATCTCCCATTGAAGATGCCTGTGCTAACTTGTTTAGATCCTCCAGTAAATATGTCTGCATTTTCACTTGCATCAACCAGTGGTATTACTGATTTCGAGACACGCCAGACTCATCCCTTGAGCTCTGGTGACAGCACTGACTCCTCCAAGCTCACCATTTCCTCTCCAGCTTCATCAACAGCAGCATTGCTTCTATATACACAGTAAGTTGGTTCAGAGAATACGATTGCAATACTGTATTTAGGTGTATGATTGTTCATTTTTGTTTATCCAGCTACTGAGTAGTTCACTGTTTATTTTTCTTATGGGTAGCCTAATGTAGATTTAATTGTGAAGTTGTTCTTAAAAAACTATTGTAAAACACTGGATTTAATTTTGTTTGCCATCCCCTCTATAATTATTCGCTAACTGTTACAAATCCGATGTGAATTCTCTTTTTATAAAAGGATTAGAGATCACTAGGTTGTAAAAATAAGTTCTCCAGAGTGTGGACAAAATAGCTGCTTCATATAGATTTGTCATGTGACCAAATCCAACACTCGTGTAGGTGTGAGGACACTGGCTCAAGTCTGAAAGCTTCCCTTCCAATGTAGGACCCTGTGTAAGCAGGACAACAGGAAGTAGTGGCCTTTTTAATGTAATCCAACAAATTCTCAGAATCTGTTGATATTTTCTTAGGCTCTTACTTTTGAACCTTTTTTTTTGCCTTTCCTTTCTTAAGTTTCAAATGACATTATGGCCCTAATGACCAGAAAAATAATAATGTGACGTAAGAGTGCGACATGTGGCGCATTTAGAAATAGGAACTGTGGATTTTATTTGTTTAAAAGAATGTTTTGTTAAGGAAAGCCGACCTTTGATGTGAAATTCAGTTAAAAACAGACAAAGATTGACATAGAAAGCTATTGCAAGTCTAAGTTGCCAATTCTAAGCCTTATAATTTAAGAACACTCCGAACATGTTGGCCTGCAACTCCTGGAGTCCCTTGTTCTGGTTCATCTCTATTATTTTACTGCCTTACCTAAATTACTAGTATACTTTTTAATTTTTCTTGCATTGGACTTTGGCTTGAGGTTTGGGTGTTGAAGACAGATTAAAAAGGTGAAAGAGTCTGCTTTTCAGCAGTTCTTTGAGCCACCCTAGCCTCCTGAGTCAAAAAATTAGACATTTTACATAAACACGGCTCCCCGTAGATGCAGTAGTGGGGCCCAACTTTGGTTATAGTATCATTTTCCTTTACATAAACATTCATAATTTAATACGGGGTAGGAAAAACTGAAGGAGCATGTTAGCAAAATGATAAAACAGAGGAAGCAAACACAGAATAGTGCTCGAAGTATCCTTAATTCGACAAACACAAGGGGAAAAAAAAAAAAAAATCTACAAACATTTATTGCTCATCCATTGGTACATCCCATACTGGAGATTTTGTCATACAATCAGAGTTGCTCCAACCAGATGAGATGCTTCCTCTTTCCATGTCATACAACCTCCAACCATCAACTGTGTGATGAATAAAATAGATACAGTTGCCCCTGCACCCTACTTTGCTTGCAGTGACAAACGTACAACACTCGGCACCTACGAAAAATGTTCTATCCCCAAGACTTTCCATCTTAACCCATGATAGTTTAGCAAAATTAAGGCCAAAAACCTCTACATCATCCACAATATCAATCGAACTTCTAGAGATTAGGAAAATCAATAAGATCTCTCCATTGGATTCAACTAAATATTCTCTGAAATGCCTTGAAGATGTAGAGGGAATGACCCTGCTTCTACTTAAAGCAGTGATTCTAGGATGAGAATCGATGTCTTCTATAACTGCAAGTGTTCCCTGCAAACTCAATGCATAAAACTTTCCTTCAAACGCAACAATATTAGTAAATTGCATGAGTTGTTTGTTTGGAGCATGTGGTTCAAGAAGAGTGCAACCTTGTTCTATCCATGTAAGTTCTTTTCGTTTTATCCATGTATGCTCACCTACCGATCTGCATCTATTAAACACAAAAGCTGGATGAGAAAGGCCTGTTACCACCATCAGAATACAATCACTGTTAGTGGACTGAAAAGGCGGTGATGATAGAGCAGCAGATTTAAATGGCACATTGGTTTCCCAAGGAGGAAGATTCGACCAAGTTTCTTTAAGGTCCCAAAGGTAGTATTGGGATTGCTCAGCACCTCTAGCCACCAGTACACCCTGGGAGTAACCCACAAAGTGGCGAAAGGGGTTCCAATATCTCCTTCTTCCATACATCCAATAGCACCCTAAACGAAATGAGATGCCGAGGATGTGAGAATAAGTCTTTTGCCATTCATCGGTATTCTCTTCATTGGTACCAGAGAGCTGAAGCCATGGTGACTTTCCAACCAGGCTGCATTGCTTTGGTGCCGCTCTCCAAGATTTGGTGACACCAAAGCTCATGTTTTGCTTAAGATTCCATTGCTTTGCAATTAAATTTGCGAGTTGTTGAGGAAGAACTGGCCATGGCTGTGCAGTGATGGCTTCTTTCTTAGATGGCAATTGCTTTCCCTTCTTCCCCTTTAGAGCCATGTGGCCGGTGACACAATATGCAGATAGAGATATATGGTTTGAGCTCACATTGAGGACCTAAATAAGCTATTATTAGCGTGGTCTCCAAGTTCCAGCAGCTTTAGTTGAAAAACAGAGAAGAAAGATGGAACGGATCATTTAGATTTTAAAGAGGAATAGTCAAACTACATGGTTGATTTGAAATAGATGGTCGGAACACGTTTTTGAATAATAGAGTAAGATATGAGAAAATTAATGTTGATGCAGTTATTCCTTGCACATGCCCTATTACTTGAGCACCATCCAAATTTATATACCACTCTTCAATTCACCGAAAGAAAACTTCAAGGCAAAATTGTAATTTCTCAGTATAGACAAAGTGGCATTCGGCAACCTCAAGAGCTTTCAATCCTAATCTCTATTTTCGTCAAATGCTGTTTAATCACTCTAACCTTTATTTTCGTTCAATACCATTTAACCACTTTCTTTCGTAATTGTACCGTGCGATATTTTTGTACAAACACATTTAACAACCCCTGTAACCATTCCAGCAGGTGTAAAGTAGGGCGGGCTTAGAACATGAATGATAATGGTATTGAAAGGGGTTGATATGCTTATTGTTTTCGCTTTTCGTGAAGAATTGTCTTTGTCTAGGTTGCGTTTAGTAATGAGAAATGTTTATTACTTTCTGTTGTCAACTTTAAAAAAACGAAGACAAAAATCGCGTTCAATAAAATATTTTTGTTTTTCTATAACAGAAAACTTTTTTAATTTTTGTGAAGAAAAGAGGAAACATCAAAATGATGTTTCTTATTTTTTCGGCACTGTAGCGTAGAAACGTTTTCACTAATGTTACTGTGCACAGACATTATTCATTTCAAATAAAATTCATATTATTTGTGTTATATACTAAGTTACATATTAAATGTTAATAAAATATATATTTTTACTGTAGAATATATTAAATATTGTATATTATTTTTATTTAATAAAAATATATTTTAATATATAATATATTAAATGATGATGTAAATTATTTTTTGTGACAAAATAATTTTTGATATAGAATATAATGTTATTAAATTATTAAGCAGTAGATATTTTATATTATTATATATCATATCTATATTATATTATATGTAAATATTAAATTATAATTAAATTATAGTATTATATCACTATATATATTTTATTACATATAAGATGTATTATTTAATATTTTTTATTCATAATAAATTATTATATGCTAAATATATTATAGATCACATAATAAATGTATACATCATGCATATACATATATTTATATACATAATTGGTGGGAATGTTTTTGTCTTGCTATATTTAATTTTGATAGTTATTAATATAAACAAGTGTCGTGCCTTAATGGTTAGGTTGCTCCCTGTATCCGAGAATTGGTGTTCAAATCATCTACCCTCCTCCTTCCCCTCCTCCTTCTCTCTAATCACTAATTCATAAAATTCTTGTCATGAAAAAAATAAAATAGAAATGAAAAAATAAAATAAAAAATTTAAAGAATATTATGTACATTTTGTAATAAATATGTTTTATTACTAAACACAATTATTGTTTTATGTTTTCAAATTTGTGGCAACAACAAGTGTTAATAAATATCATTTTTATTTTTTATTTTCACTCAAGAGAGTAAAATCATGTTTCTGTTTTTTTAAAACTACAAAAACAAAAAACAAAAACTTTATTAAACGCACCAACTTTGTCTTTTTTGTTTTTTGTTTTTATCTTTTCTCGTGAATTGGGTTAGGGATTCGGGACGTGATAAATTTTTTTATAAAAAAATTAAAAATAAAGAAAGTTCCAAACTCAATTCCACTCAATATGTATATTCAAACCACAACCTATCCAAAATACAAAAGACTGTCTAGAAGATATCCAACCCAGCAACCATCAATTAACAGAACTCCATAATAAAGTTCCAAAGTCGATTCCAATATTTCAAACCAACTTGATCAACATGATCCATTTACACAAAAGATAGATAAAATACCGGGGACAGAGCCGGAGGCGATCAACTCAGGAAGAGTACGCTAATATGACTTGGATGATCCATATTTTAGGTTAGACATTGATGAGCACATTAAACTATCCATGTAATCAAGAGTCCTCACAGTCTAGACACAACCAGAGGCGGAGCCAATTAAGACCTAGGAGGCACGTGCCCCTGACCTGGTCCAGCCCACTAGAATATATATAGTTAATTTGTAATTTATTTATTATATATGAAAAATTATATATCGTATTTTTCTAAATTTTTAATTTCTAAAATTATCTTAACTTTTTCTTTCTTTTGTTTATTAAATTCCTTAAATTTCTTTTTTTTTTTAAAGTCAAATTTTTCTTTTTAAATCATACTCTAATTTTTTTTTCCTTTCAAATATATCTCAATTTTTTTCTTTTTTTAAATTATACTCCCTCTGAATTAAAATCTTGACTCCGCCCTGAGCACAACCACGCACGCGCCTATCAAACATCAAACCATGCACATTGCTTCTTGTACTCTTCGGGAGTCAAGTCGCACTGCCTTACAACCCTCAATGATTGGCGTGTCCCGACACCAACAAGTAAAATCTCCTTGTGCTTCAAGACCCATAACAACAACAAAGAATGTGGGTCAAGTCGCACTGCCTTACTACCCTCAATGATTGGCGCGTTTGACACCAAGGAGTAAAATCTCCTTGTGCTTCAGGACCCATACTAACAACAAAGAACGTGTTAAACTATTAGCAGGAGTAGAAACTGCTGGAGTTAAGAAATTTGGACTATGCGAGGAGCTCTTCGCAGGCAGGGCTGCTGATGGTAGATTTTCTGTTCTCTTCTTGCAACAGATCTTGGATTCTGATTTATATAGCAGTGAAGTTTGAAATTTGTTTTAAAGAATGTTTTGTTAAAACAAAAAAACCGACCTTTTTTTTTAACACTTAATTTGGGAAGCTACTGCAACTCTGTCGTTGATTTTTTTTTTGGTGTTAAAGACGGATTAAAATGGATTTGAATTTTTTTTTTTTAAAATAAAATTAAAATTAGCTTCAACCATATTTTGGCCCACCCTAGCCTGAGTCAAAAATTTGACATTTTAGATAAAGATTCAAAATGCAATCCAGAGAAATACATTATGTCAATTCATTACCACAATGGGCTCATGTTCAGTTTTTATTTCTTTCATACAAATTCAAAGATGAACAAACTAAAGGAGCATGCGAGAAAAATGATACAACAGAAGGAAGCAAACACAGAATATTGCTCAAAATATCCGTAATTCGACAATCAATTATTGCTACTCCAATATTAGTTCCTCCCATACTGGAGATTTTGTCATACAATTGGAATTGCTCCAACCAGGTGAGATGCTTCCTCTTTCCATGTCATACAACCACCAACCATCAACTGTCTGTCGAGTGAAATAGATACAATTGCCTCTACACCCCACTTTGCTTGCAGTGACAAACATACAACACTCGTCACTGACAAAAAATGTTCTATCCCCAAGGTTTTCCACCTTAACCCATGATAGTTTAGCAACATCAAGGCCAAAAACCTCTACATCATCCACAATATTGATCGAACTTTTAGAGATTAGAAAAATCAATAAGATCTCTCCATTGGATTCAACTAAATATTCTCTGAAATGCCTTGAAGATGCAGAAGGAGCAGCCCTGCTTCTACTTAAAGCAGTGATTCTAGGAAGAGAATCAATGTCTTCTATAACTGCAAGTGTTCCCTGCAAACTCAATGCGTAAAACTTTCCTTCAAACGCAATGATATTAGTAAATTGCATGAGTTGTTTGTTCGGAGCATGTGGTTCAAGGAGGGCACAATCTTGTTTTATCCATGTAAATTTACCTGCTGATCCGCGTCTATTAAACACGAAAGTTGGATGAGAAAGGCCTGTTATCACCATCACAATACAAGTACCGTTATTGTACTGAAAAGGCGATGAAGATAGAGCAGCAGATTTAAATGGCACATTGGTATCCCAAGGAGGAAGATCCGACGTACAATTGCTAAGGTTCCAAAGGTAGTATTGGGATTGCTCAGCACCTCTAACCACTAGAGCACCCTGGGAGTAACCTACAAAATGGCGAGCAGAGACCTCGTATGGCCATCTTCCATACCACCAATAGCACCCTACACGAAATGAGATGCTGAGGATGTGAGAATGAGTCTTTTGGCATTCATCAGAATTGGCTTCGCTGGTACCGGACAGCTGAAGCCATGGGGACTTCCCAACTGAACTGCATTGCTTTGGTGCCGCTCTCCAAGATTTGGTGACACCGCCAAAGCTTATGTTTTGCATTAGACTCGATTGCTTTGCAATTAAGCTGATGAGTTGCAGGGGAAGAACTGGCCATGGCTGTGCGGTGGTGGCTTCTTTCTTATATGGCAATTGCTTTCCCTTCTTCCCCTTCTGAGCCATTTGTGTGGTGACACAATATGCAGATAGAGAGATATGGTTTGAGCTCACAGTGAGGACCTAAATAAGCTACGATAAGCGTGGTCGCCAAGTTCCATTAGCTTTAGTTTAAAACACCTAAAAATATTGAAACAGCTCATATTGATTTAGATTATGAATTCTTAATTAAACTAAAATGGTTGACTTGAAATAGATGCTCTTCTTGGGGAACAAGCCTACCAGGTAACAACAATTAAGTGTGTATCCATTGACTTTTAAGGTTAATTAGGACATAATAAGTTTATATAATATACATGTACTTACTGTTGAAGAGAGAAACAATTTTATGATATGGTGGAGAATACGTTAAGTTCACAAATAAACATAGTGGACAACCCGTGTGAAAAGTAAAGAGTGCTACTGGTAACAGGGACAATTCACCAGGTATCTATGCAGGAAAAAAATTAGTAAATTTTGAACTAAAATTCCATGAGTGAAGAGTATGTAACTCAAAATATAATCGTCTAAATTTTTGGTAAATTTGTTTATTACGAGGAATTGCAAGGGTGGTTGATAACTTGGATGTTGTTCAAATGATGTGGTGTGTGCAAGAAACAGCTGCATTAACATTAATTAAGATCTAAATATATATATATATTAGTATATAAAAAGTGTTCCCCAAAGTGAGCATCTATTTAAAGTCAATCATGTAGTTTAGCTATTAATTCAAAGTAATCTGTGTTTTTTGGAATAATTAAAGCTGATGGAACTTGGAGGCCACGCATAAGTGTGCTTATTTTAAGACCTCTCACTGAGTTCAAGCCATATATCTCTTTGCCTATTGTTTCAGCACACAAATGGCTCAGGGAAGAAGACAATTGCCACGTAAGAGAGAAGCCAATGCTACAAAGCCATGGCCAGATCTTCCTCAACAAATCAGGAACTTAATGCGAAAGAGGTGGTGTTTTTTACTAAAGTCTGATGGTGTCACCAAATCCTGGAGAACACCACCAAGGAAATGCAACCCGATTGGAAAGTCGCCATGGCTTCAACTCTCCCGTACAAATGATAGCAAATGGAAGGAATGCCACAACACTCAATCTCCAATCTTCAACATCTCAGTCCGAGCTTCCAACCAACAATGTATGCAATTTCCTACAGCCATTTGGTTTCAAGGAAAATTTTATGCATTGAGTTTGGAGGGAACGCTTGCAATTCTAGAAGGCGTGTTCGATTCTCATCCTAGAATCACTGCTATAAGTAAAAGCAGAGCCGTCCCTTCTACATTGTCGAGGCATTTCAGAGAATATTTAGTTGAATTCCACGGTGAGATCTTACTGATTTTCCTAATCTCTAGGAAATCAATGAACGTAGTGGATGATGTAGAGGTCTTTTGCCTTCATTTCGCTGACCTCTCGTGGGTTAAGATGGGTAGCATTGGGGATCAAACAATTATTGCAGGGCCTGACTGGTTCATCTCTGTTGATGCGAGCAAATTGGGGTGTAGGAGCAACTGTATCTATTTTAGTCATCACACAGATGATGGTTGGTGTGTCTATGACATGGAAAAAGGTAGTTTGTCACCTGCAAACATATGCTTTCTTAATGTTTCTGTGAAATGTAATGACTGAAATCAAGCAAAAAAAAATGTTTGTATTCATTTCAATTTGTTTTCAACATGATGTGCATGATTAATAATATAGTCAAGTGCAAAACACACCCCTTTATAGTGCATATTGCACCCTCTGGTGTAAACTAATCTATGACATTTGTGCAAATAGGTCATATTTATAAAAATTGAACTAAAATGCCCTTAATAACACATTTTATAAAATATAGAAAAAATATTTTGTGAAATGACTAAAAAGGGCTTGGCCCTCCTTCTTCTTCACCTTGATGGTTGTCGAGGGAAGGGAAGACTGGAGAAGATAGATATATATACACAGACATATATATATAGATATATATACACATATACATAGACATAAATATGCAGATATATATATTTATTTATTGTAAATTTACAAATTATATATATATATGTATATACACACGTCGATGGGGAAGGAGTGAGAGGTTGATGTCGATGTTGCTAGTGAGTAGAGGAGATAAAGATGGAGGCGTCGCCGAGGAGGGGATAAAGAGGCCGAACCAATCCTCTCCACAGCCCATCGCTGGAATCCTTGTTCGCTGCCATCGCCACCACCGTATTATTCACAGCAATCCTAGATTGAAATAGTTTCTGAATATAGGTTGTTTGCCAACTAGGTTATTACACAATCGAATCAAGGGAAGTTCAAGAAATTGAAGTGGCCAATTTATAAATTGAGCAATCACTACAAGACTGGGAAAAAACATTCAAGTACAAATTTGAAAGCTAGAATTGTTGTGTAATTTGCCCAATGAAACAGTTGCCAAAGTGAGCATATCTACCCAATGAAACCAAAGAAACCCCAAATGAAACCTTACTCAACCACTTCATCAGGCTTATGATTGCTGTGAACAGTACGAGTTTGATTGTTGTTGTTCACCGAGAAACCCACGTCTTTCTTCTTCTTCCCCAACCACAAGCTCCAAAACGCCATCAACCTTGTGAACACATACCTCTCCGGCAGCCTCTTCCCGACCGTCCGCAACCTCCACCTCTGACTTTGGCATCAACAAGATCGGTTTAGTAGAAGAATAAAAGGGTAAAATGGGTATTTTATTAATTAAGGGTGTTTTTGCACAAATTAAGAAGAATAAGGGTATTTTTTGCACAACCTTTTAAGTAGGGATAAAAATGTTATGAAATGTATACTTCAAGGATATTTCTTACACTTACTCCTTAATAATATGATAAATTATACTAACAGGAAGGATCAGAAAAAGTATCTGAGAGGCTTTAAGAAAAAAATATTGTGGAGGGAGTAATAGTGGAGTTTTTCTCTAATTTTGTGGGGGCAAATTCAAAATTTTCTAAGTATATAATTTTAAAAAACAAAATTACTAGGTATAATAGTAAAAATAAATAAATCCAGTGAGCCATAATAGTATCGATCCTAATACTTTAGGGGCCGAAGGATACATATCATACTATGATGCGGCATGTTGCACTAAAGGATCCGAATTCATACACCTAAACTAAGATCCGAACCCCATAATTTCTATGTGAAATAAATTTTTGGAAAAATTAATTTTAGTGATTAAAAAAAATTTATTTTAGAATCATTTTAAACTCAAAAAGATAAACAGGACTATAAAACAACTTTAAAAAGGACAATATTTAGGTCTTGTGAGAACTTACACAGTCTCACCATCAAGCGTGACACATTCTTGTTATGACATAGTTTTTATTGTCAATTAAAAATTAAAAAGAAATAGAAATTAGGTGGCTTAATTTTATTTTTGAATGACATTACTTTTTTATTTTTTGAATCCTAACAATATTATGCCACATATGTGATGCGATGATCCTTAAATATGGTGTACAAAATATTGTCCTTTTTAGAGGATGTAGATTTCAAATATTTTATTATTATTATTATAGCCGAATAAATCTTCTAGTAAATCGTCTTGTAATATAAAATCGTTTTGTAATATAAGTTTTATGCACTAATAGTCCTTTTTTTAAAATATGCATTTCAGTTTATAAAATTTTAAAAAATATAAATAAGTCCCTTTGACCATTTGTTTGATCAAAATTAACATAAAATAAATTTAAAAACCTTAATTTGTCCCATTTTTCTTCTTATTTTCCTTTTTTTTATTAGTTGAGTTTAACCCATTTAACAATGTGTCTTCTCCAATTTTTTTAATATTACATAATTTTTTGTACACATTTTTTTTTTTTTTCTTACATTTGTCTTTATCTAAAATGATAATTTTATCTTAGTTTATTTTTGAAATTTTATTTTATTTTATTTTACTGACACGAGAGTATTATCTTTTTAATTGCATCAAATTAATTGCATCAAATTAAAAGCAATAGGGTGTTCAAGTTTTTTGCACTTAACCCTAAATCTTTGAATATCTCCGGTCCCTCTCTCTCCTCTCTCTCTCTCTCTCTCTCTCTCTACAATTTCTTCAATTTCCTCTCTCTCAAAATCTATTGCTTGCAGTTTCACTTCATCTCGTTATTCAATTTTCGGAGATATATATATATATATATATATATATATATATATATATCTTTGATTTTTTTGGTTTTCAGGTAAACAGGTAGGCCAAATTGAAGCAGTGCAAGCTTGATGCTCGCTGTGAGCAGTGGCTTTCGCAAGGTATGTGAAACATTCCTCCGCTCTGTTGCTTTGATTTTTTATTTGATAGTGTTTGTTTATGTACGAGTAAGGTTGAACTCCTGAGGGAAAAAAACAATTTTTGGTGAAGATGAGATTGAGGTGGTGATGGTGGGGCTGTGACACTCTTGTGATTGAAGAATATTCAGGACATTAAACTTAAAATGGCCACTAATTGGCAATAATTTTTTAAGATGGGTATTATTTATCTTTTTATGAGTTTAAGATCACTCTAAAGCAAAAAAAAAAAAAAAAAAAAAAAATGGGTTTTTGGTCACCAAAATCAAATTTTCCCAATATGTTATACTACAATCTGACGAAACTATAAGACAAGGGAGAGAATTTGATGCTTGGATTAGTTATGGTTTTTTGAATTTGCAAATAGCAAAACCCAACAAGATAGCTTTAACTTTACATGTGGTTGATCAGAGGAAGTTGTTGCCAAAATGGGTTTAGAGAGGAAATTAATTTTTAAAAAAGACATGTTCAAATCATGGGACTTTATTTCAAGTTTTTTAGTTCATGAAAATGTAGAAGTCCAAGTTGATCTCGGGGCATTGACTCCAACTCCAAATATTCTAGAATAGGATATATATATATAGTCAATACATCTTAATTGTTTTAAATTTCTTCAATACTACACTTTTGGTAGGTAATTACAGTAATTTGTTATCAATCTATTTAGAAAATCCAGAAACTAAGGTACCGGTCCTTATGATCTTAGCTTAGGTGTCAGTCCCATTCCCATGTGAGACCAAGTACACCAGTTCAAATGATGTTCTCTATATTTCTTCTTAAAATAAGATAACTTGCAGTCATGAAAATCTTTAGCTGAAAAGTATACAAATTAAGACTTATTCAACAAATCTAACTCTTGAATCTGCAGCAATATTTTATGTATCAATAATTCAATCCATGTACACAATATAAGGAGAACTGCAATTAAGCCTCCAAACACTGAACATTAAGTCCTCCCAAATACTGTTGCCTGCAACTCTTGGACCCTTCTCCAATTACCTACGCTTTTCTATATTTCATTCATGATCAATATTTTTTTCGTCTTTCTTATACTGGTTCCTTGTGCAACTCCACTAAACTTCAGCTTCCCTGCTATCACACGAGAGCTTAAAAATGTCAAAATATTCACTGATGGAAGTGCTAATATCTCAGGACAAGGCATCCAAGTTACCCCAGAGGAGCGCAGCGATGTGCAGCAGCAGAGAGTTGGTCGAGCCAGATATCATGAACCTCTGCACCTTTTGGACAGTGCTGGAAATCTGGCGGACTTCACCACCAATTTCACCTTTGTCATTGATTCAGAAGGAAGTTCAGTCCACGCTGATGGGTTTGCTTTCTTCCTTTTTCCCAATGTTTCCGATTTCAATAATATCCTCATCACACAAGGTGGTGCTCTTGGTCTTCCAATCGACTCCAACACAATCAACGCCATCACCCCATTCGTTGCTGTGGAGTTCGACACTCATAAGAATGATTGGGACCCGTACAACGAGTCCTACACTCATGTAGGTATCAATCTGGACTCTTTGAGATCTGTTAACACTTCCATATGGTATGGTAATATCACTCAAGGGGGAGAAAATGAAGCTTGGATTAGTTATAATTCTAACTTGAAAACTTTGAGTGTCGGCTTCACTAGTATTGTAAATAATGCAAGAGTTCGACAAGATAACCTTAGTTACATTGTTGATTTGCGTGACTACTTGCCAGAATGGGTTGCTTTTGGCTTCTCAGCCTCCACCGGAGGGTTTTTCGAGAAACGTACCATTAAGTCATGGAGTTTCAGTTCAACAGAGCCAGCACCGATGACACCGAGCCCCAGTCCGGGCCCCAAACCCAAAGGGAAGAAGGAAAACAAGACAGCACTAGTGGTGGGATTAAGTGTTGGCTCATGTGTTTTGGTTGGAGGATTAAGTTCGATTGCCACGTGCTTGTGGAAGAAAACCAATAGAGGAAAAGACGAAGATGCATTTGTCTTTGATCTATCCATGGAGGATGAATTCGAGAAGGACATTGGACCAAAGAAGTTTTCCTACAGTGAATTGGCTCATTCAACAAATAATTTTTCAGAAGAAGAAAAGCTTGGAGAGGGAGGGTTTGGTGGGGTTTATAGAGGTTTCTTGAGGGAGTTGGCTTCTTATGTTGCTGTGAAGAGGGTGTCAAGAGGTTCTAAGCAAGGGCTCAAAGAGTATATATCAGAAGTTAAGATCATTAGTAGATTAAGGCATAAGAACTTGGTGCAACTCATTGGTTGGTGCCATGAAAAAAATGAGCTGCTGCTTGTTTACGAGTTCTTGCCAAATGGGAGCTTAGATTCCCATCTTTTCATAGGAAAAAGCTTATTGACATGGGCAATGAGGTACAAAATTGTCCACGGCTTAGCCTCTGCTTTGCTCTATCTACATGAAGAATGGGAACAATGCGTGCTGCATAGAGATATTAAATCAAGCAACATTATGTTGGATTCAAATTTCAATGCCAAAGTTGGGGATTTTGGGCTAGCTAGGCTTGTTAACCATGAAAAAGGATCGCAAACAACACTTTTGGCAGGGACAATGGGCTATATGGATCCTGAATGTGTCATTACAGGCAAGGCTAGTAAGGAATCAGATGTCTACAGCTTTGGAATCGTTGTACTGGAAATAGCATGCGGAAGAAAACCCATTGATCTCAGGGCACCAGAAACTCAATCAAGACTGGTGGAGTGGGTTTGGGACCTCTATGGAACAGGAAAACTTCTTGAAGCAGCAGACCCCAAATTAAATACAGATTTTGATGAGCAAGAGATGACGAATTTGCTGATTGTTGGGCTTTGGTGTGCTCATCCTGATTACAATCGTAGGCCTTCAATAAGACAGGTAATTCAGGTGCTTAATTATGAAGCTCTGCTTCCCATTCTTCCCTCAAAGATGCCTGTGCCAACATATTTGACTCCTGATCCGGTGACCACACCTACATCTTCACTTTCATTATCCAGTAATGCCAATGTCTCAGAGAGTAGCCAAATCCATTATTCAAGCCATAGTTACAACACCAATTCCTCAAATTTGACCATAGCATCTGCAGCTTCCTCTCCATCTACATCACTTCTGCATACAAGGTAAGTAGATCTAAAGAATATCAAGTTTTAACTTCGTCATGTATTTAAGGTGTACTAAGATCACTTATTATTTTTTTCTATCATTCTTAAGCAATAGTCATTAGTACTTCAATCTTCTTGGTAAATTTTTGGCAAATTCTGGCATGATTAGAACTATGAAAGTGTAGTGTATCTACAATTGTTGCGTAAATGGGATTTTAAATAAAAGGGCACATTTATGGTCCTATTGTTTCCAAGTGTTATGACACAAATAAGTCACATAGTTATGAAATAAATATACAAAATGTTATATTGTATTTCTCACATTTGCCTATTCTTTTTGCAACATGTCTTGTTGTCTGGTGTATGATAGGGCAATGCCTGTAACTTGATTCAATCAAAATTTAAGAATCCATGAGTATAGTGTTAGGTAGACGATTGGATGAAAGAATCGGCACCTGCTCCACCCAACCCTATTGAGATGAATCCCCGGTTGTTACATAATAATTATATACTATCTATCATATGTATTATTAAAGACTTGAGTCATTTTAAGTGAGATCAGCAAAAACAACCCAATAGGAATGGGACTATGGAAGACCAAGTCATATTAACATGAAGGTTGTTCAAATTCCATACCTACCATGAGATGTTCAAACGAAGTCTGCTTTTACTCTACCTTTGCATATAACCATGTTTGTTTACAATGTCAACAAAAAAGGCCTGAAGATCACAGCATCAAACGACGTAAAACTAAGTTCTGTAAGTACAGGACCACCATCAGAATAGTACTGTTATAGAAAAAAGAAGATGAAGATAGAGCAGCATATTTAAAAGGCACACTGGTATCCCAAGGTGGAAGATTCCACGTAATTTCGTTAACAGGATCCCAAATGTAGTACTTGGATTGCTCAGCGCTTCTAGCCATTAGAAAACCATGGGAGTAACCCACAAAATGGCATAAAGGGTTCCAATTTGGCCGGCTTCTTGCGCAGTACCAATAGCACCCTAAACGAAATGAGATGCTGAAGATGTGAAAATGAGTCTTGTGGCAGTCATCGGAATTGCCTTCATTGGTCGTGCCAGACAGCTGAAGCCATGGTGACTTCCCAACCGCGCTGCATTGCTTTGGTGCTGCTTTCCAGGATTTGGTGACACCACCAAAGCTGATGTTTTCCTTAAGATTCCATTGCCTTGCAATTAGGTTAATGAGTTGTAGGGGAAGAACTGGCCATGGCCTTGCAGCACTGCATTCTTTCTTACATGGCAATTGCTTTCCCTTCTTCCCCTTTAGAGCCATATATGCGGCAAATGGCAAAATGCGTAAGTGTGCTTATTTTAGGTCCTCGCACTCAGTTCAAACCATATATCTCTTTGCCTATGGTGTCAGCACACAAATGGCTCGTAAGGGGAAGAAGAGAAAGCAATTGCTGTGTAAGCCAACGCTTCATGGTCATGGGAGGTTCTTCCTCAACAACTCATGAACATAATTGCAGAGAATTGGAGTCTTGCGGAAAATTTTGGCTCCTGTGCTGTCACCAAATCCTGGAGAGCAGCACCAAGGAAATGCAACCCAATTGGAAAGTTGCCATGGCTTCAACTATGACCGTTGCAAGGAATGCCACAAGACCCATTGTAACGTCTTCAACATCTCATTCCGAGCTTCCAACCAACAATGTATGCAAATTCCTACAGCCATTTGGTTTCAAGGAAATTTTATGCATTGAGTTTGGAGGGAAAACTTGCAATTCTAGAAGACGTGTTTGATTCCCATCCTTGAATCACTGCTTTAAGTAAAAGCAGAGCCATTCCTTCTACATTGTCAAGGCATTTCAAAGAATGTATAGTTGAATTCAACGGAGAGATCTTACTTGTTTTCCTAATCTCTAGGAAATCGATGAACATAGTGGATGATGCAGAGGTTTTCGCCTTCATTTCGCTGAACTCTCATGGATTAAGATGGATAGCGTTGGGGATAAAACAATTATTGCAGGGCCTGACTGGTGCATGTATGTTACTACGACCAAAGTGGGGTTTAGGAGCAACTGTATCTATTTTAGTCATCACACAGATGATGGTGGGTGTGTTTATGATATGGGAAAAGGCAGCTTCTCACCTGCAAAAGATATGTTTTCTGATTTACCCGAAAAAACAAGAAAAAAAGGAGAAGAAGATATGTTTCTAGATGTACATGTGAAATGGAATGTGTTTGAAATCAAGCAAGGATTACATGATCAATAATATTGTGAAAGAAATTATATATATATATATATATATATATATATATATTCAACCGCACAATTGAACTGCAAACTAAGAGTCCATTCGGTGTTACTGTAACGACCCGAACCCAAGGGTCCGAATCGCTAACCGAGTCCTTTCCCGAACCCGATGTCAACTAAGGGCGCTACCATCCTTTCCTATGTCAATAAATAATATACTTGTCATCCCAAGGTTTATAAGATAATAACAATAATAAATATTAATAAATAAATAAATAATAGTAATAAAATGAGATCATAGTTACAAAGTATGTCAAAAACGGTCTACTAACCCATCGAACCCTGTGGAGGAGCGTCGTCCGCCACTTCCCTTCCGTATTCTGAAAAATGTTGATAATAAAAGGGTGAGCATAAGCTCAGTAGGAAGTGTTTAAGACACACCTCTTATAACCCCGTGAATCCACGTATAAAATAAAAAATAAGAGAACGAGATCATACTATACCGGGGATGTAAACTATAACCACAACATTCAATATAAACACAAATGTCAACCAAGTCACAGATACACCAAGTATGCCAATGAAGTGCAATGCCATGTTCATGTCACTCCCCGTTTCTGAAACATTTCCGTTTCAACTTCTAAACCGTTACTGTAATCCGACCCAAGACACCTCCAAGGCATCACGAGGGAGGGGTTGGCTAGTCTTCCCCGACCACACGGCACCTCCATAGCGTCGTCTGGGTAGCTCAACCACACTAGAGTCTCTCTCTAACCCCCTCTAGATCACACTAACACCACGAACCACTAGGCGCCTTCTAGGCGTCCGGGTTTTCGCAACACTTTTCAAAAACATTTTCCCAAAATCATTTTATTTGCTTTCAAAATATTTTTCCCATTTTTCCTTTCCCAATGGATGCATGAATGTTTCATGCTCCTAATCATGAATTCAACCATTGAATTTCACACATGATTTGCAAATTAAATCTCTAAAATAGGTAATTCATGCTTCCCTTCAACATTGTTTTAGCATACCAAGTATAAAAAGTATAATCAATTTCACATAAGCATGCTATTACACAATTTCATACAATTCATCTATATCTCATTTACATACTTCTAAGAAAAATTAAATTAAGAAACTCTCATTTAACAATTTTGACAACACAGTACTAGACGTTCAAGCATTCAAGTGTATATAATCAAAAGCAATAACCAATACAAGTAATTTCTATCATTTTCAACACAATATATATCTTGTCATGCTCATTATACATAGAATGTCCATAACCACAAACAATACTCATAATTTAGTAAACAACTTAACAACTTTTATAAGAAAGCTCACAAAAGTCAAAGAAAATTGTGGATTAGAAACCCCTACCTCAAGAATTGCAAAAACTCCCAATTTGCTGAATCCAAACCCTAGAATTCGAAATTCTTAGGGTGCACCAAAACCACTTTTGCTCCGATCAAATCGAAGATCTCGCCGTGATCTCTAATTTGCCGCAAACGGCACGTAAAAACTCCAAAAATTGAGAGAGAAATCTAGGATTGAAATCTTGTAAAAAGAAAAAGAAAAAAAAAATGGAGAATGAGAGGGATGAGAGTGAGCTATGGGAGAGAGAGGAAGAATGAGACCAAATGGGTCTCTAAGCCACACATATATACTAGTGGTGCGTCCCACCACCTTTTTAAATAAAATTTTCCTTTTTCTTTTTCTACACCACAATTATATATATGTAAAAATAAATAAATAAAATAAAATTACAATCTACCCTCCTTAAAAGATTTCGTCATCGAAATCTACCCTCCTTAAAGAAGGAGGCCCACAACCACACCCCTTCCCGAGAACACCTCACCAAACCGCAGAGCCCAAAACTCAACAACCTTATTGTCTTTGACACCCGATGTCAACAGGCAGTCACACACTGACATCAGAAAAACCCCATGCTCACCACCCTACGAGGGTACTCATCACTCACAACATCATAACACTAGACCATCTGGTACGCCCTATGTTATACCCGGCTCAAAACAGATATCGGTCCACTCTACGCTGCTACACAAGACTTCGGAGCTCGAAAGAACGGTTACAAGACCCCTGAACATGACAACATCATATCTCAACTTATCCTTTAAAAGACACAAATCCACAAATTTTTGTCAAACCAATACTCGCCATCTAACACACAGCTACACCATCACATATCAGTACAAGCGACCACCAACCGCAGCATTCAGCAATCATTACACTTAACAACCTCAAGATGACCCAACAATAATTCTCCCAACAACTGTATAAACACGAGTCACCAGAACAATAGAACATATTATCCTGTATCCTGGGCACAAATCCTCAAAAAGAGATTCTCAATAATCAATTATTGTACCACAAACTTTTTTATCGGACGCTTGGTCCTACTTGGCACACCTCATCACCCGAAACAAACCATCTGAATCCACCCTGTCACACTGATACATCGCGCAATACTATACTCTCATTGTTCCTGACAAACTAAAACAATCATTGACCTTTGACCCGACATCATGCTAAAGATGGACTGACTCATGAGAAATGGTTGGCCAGGCCATTCTCATCATTAATCCGATCTCAACACAGACGTCGTTTCTGTCCTCAGGTCTAAACCTCAAACACATCCCCACACAGTCCACAAAACAACCAAGAGATCCACTCACTATCCACCCATTGTTCCACATAACCTCTGTAATGACCTGGTCATTTGACTCCCTTTCCTTTTTCTTGAAATTTTACGGGTAAATTTTTTCCGTTTAATTTTCTGTTCTGAGTTCAGTTTCTTATCTCATAGTGTCGTCTTGAGTGCTTGGAAAAGGTTTCTAAGACTCTTTCGTTCGGATTGACCACTTCTTTTGAAGACCGAGTCATTTCCACATTTTCAGTTTTCGGACACTATGCACTATTTCGTCTTTTTCCCTATTCTGTCTTTTCCCCGTTTGTCAATTTTTGGCACAACTATACTTTTCATGCTCGGAGTTAGATTT